CGAGCCACATGTGGCTCTTTGGCCCCTTGAGTGTGGCTCTTCCACAAAATACTGACTTCTGCACATGGGCCACGAAGTTTCAATCACACTGTACGTGCGCGCCCGCACGTGGTATTTTGTGGAAGAGCCACACTCAAGGGGCCAAAGAGCCACATGTGGCTCACGAGCTACGGTTTGCCGACCACGGGCTTAAGGGAAGGCTCTTTGTTCTTCATATCAGTTTAAAGTCTCAGAATTCTCTGGATGGAAAAAAAAATGCCCCTTTTTCTATTCAAGGGGAGAAAAACACGAAGATCCTCCGTAGAAAAAAGGGCAAAGAATATCCTCAAATGACACACAGGAGTCAGCATTCTTGAAAAGTCTAGGAAGAACATCCAAGCTTAATAATCACCAAATAACTCAACTTTCTACAGCGGGTGTCTGTTTGCACCGATTAAATGGAAAGTGTTGAAGCGACAGCACTGGGTGCTGGCGAGGCTGCAGGGACAGCAGCTGCTCAGCTCGCTCTGGACCTGGCCGCCCTGGGTCCACAGCTCCCCACAGGGACCGCGTCAGACCAGAGCCCGTTAGCAACGCCTTAGGCCAGCGGTTCTCAACCTGTGGGTCGCGACCCCTTTGGCGGTCCAACGACCCTTTCACAGGGGTCGCCTAAGACCATCCTGCATATCAGATATTTGCATGACGATTCATAACAGTAGCAACATAACAGTTATGAAGTAGCAACGAAAATAATTTTATGGTTGGGTCACCACATGAGGAACTGTATTTAAAGGGCCAGAAGGTTGAGAACCACTGGCTTAGGCTTTTAGAGTCCCTGGGGACATGGTCCCGGGGTGTGAGGGCCCCGGAAATAGGCTGCATGCAGTGACATGGTGGCACGGAAGGGGAGTGCCAACCTTCAGGCCGGGAAGTGGAAGCGACACTGGCCGCAAACGAGTGGGGCAGCCTGGCGGACCCCAAACCAGGAACAGGAAAAGAGGCCAAAGAAAGGAAATGACAAAGATCACCCAGGAAAGGCTGTCTTTGGGGTGGTTTTCAAGCTCTCCCCACCTCAAAGCTGAAGCAACCGGTCACCCTTGGAGGAGGGGAGAAGAGGAGAATGGATTGGACTCTGAGTACTGTGCTCTATTGTCTGGCAAATGCCCCTCTACTTACTATCCAACTCAACCTGGCTGAAAAATGAGTTCAACCTCCCCTCCCCTCAGCAAAAGTCAAATTCTAAGACTATCATGGAAATAGGCAAAGTCATACATGCGAAAGGGCTGCGAAAACTCCGAAGCTTTCCTTCCCAACGGCGAGCCCCGCGTCACAGCTCCTTCCCTTCCTCAGGAAGCTCTCGCACTGGAAAGCATGGCTTTTGTTCTGCCCAGTTCCTGTGTAGAGGTGTATGTGTCTGCAGCCCACCGGAGGTCCAGGAAAGCTTGGCACACAGGAGGGCCTTGGAAAAATCTGACTGAAGGGATGAGTTGAGCATGAAGCACTGTGAGGAAGGTGCCATATTGCCCCCATTTCAGAGATGAGGAAACTGAGGCTCAGAAAGGTGGAACTGACCTGCTCCAGGTCCCACAGCCGGTAAGCAATAGCGCCCAGTTCACAGCCCAGGTCTGTCTGACTCCAGACGTGCATGGAGTCGGGAGCAGTCAGCGGTGCCCACTCAGGACCCTCCTCCAGGACCTCTGCTCCACCGGCCACTGCAGGAGTCGGACTGGCCTCCAATAAAGCAGGCCGCAGAGCCAGGGAGCCGCTGGCCTGCTGCTCACATCTCACAGGCACTCCCAGCGTGGCCCGCCTAACAGGCCAAGGCACCCAGGCCATGGGGCTCAGGGGCTCAGGATGGACACATAAGTAGATTCGCTTCAAGTGGGTGTCGCTCTCATTCCTGATGGGGAGTCAGGCCTGACCAGACAGGCCCCCAGGGCCGGGCCAGCAGCTGGAGGAGGGTCTCTTTCTTCACAATGACTGTCGGGGGGATATGGAGGCGGCAACACAAACAGCAGCTGAGGCCGGAAAGCGCGTGCGGGACCGCCCTGGACATCTTATCCTGGTGGGATCATCAGTCCAGGGGCCCGAGGGGAGGCCTGCCGCCACCTGGCAGGGCCAATGCAGATCAGCGTTCAGGGTCGGCAACCGAGTGGCAGATCCCAGGGAGCCCGTGGGAGGCGTCTGGGCTGACTCGGCGATGGGGTCCTGGTCCCCGGCCGGTGTTGGTCCCCTTACAACAGCAGGGTCCACATAGTCATCCATTCATTTCTTTGGTTGTGTGCACTCCTCTTTAGTTAGTTTTTGGGACTATAAAAGGAGAGAGCAGAAGGAGACAACAAGAAAAAGGAAGGCCACCCACAACCCCCTTCCGGAGGTGACCTCTGTGCCTGCTCTGGCGGACTCCACCCGGATGACTGTCTACATCAGCAGTTCCCAACCTGTGGGTCGCGACCCCTTTGGGGGTCCAACAACCCTTTCACAGGGGTCGCCTAAGACCATCGGAAAACACATATATAATTACATTTTTTTTCGATTAGTCACTATGCTTTAATTATGTTCAATTTGTGACAATGAAATTGGGGGTCACCACAACATGAGGAACTGTATTAAAGGGTCGGCATTAGGAAGGTTGAGAACCGCTGCTCTAGAGGCTGTGGTTCTAAGCCTTCATCCTGGTCGGTGCCCGGACACCCCCGCTTCTGTCTGCGCCTGAGAAGTGCGGCCGGGGAGGGAGGAGGGTCGCAGGGCGGCTGGACAGAGGCCGCGAGGGCGGGGCCCGTGGTCGTGGGGAAATGGGAGCCTTGCTTTGACCTTGTTCTCAGCGCTCGGTCACCAACAAGGAAACCGCCCTCCGCGCACAGGACTGTGGGCTGTTCACAGAATGGGCACCGTCCCCTGCCGACGCCATGAACTACACACAATACTGCCCGGCCCCAATCCGGCCCACGCTGGCGTGTCCACGGCTGCTGGGGCACGGGGTGCCGACGCTTTAAGGTGCACCCTACGGGGTGTGGGTGCCCCTGGTACCCGGGAGGCGCATGGGAGATGGGGTCTTTCCAGAGGAATTTGCTAAAAACGAGGCTGCTGAGCAGCTCCCACCCCGCCTCCCTCTGGGAATGATGGGCTTCCCCGAGGGCCCGTCACCCCCCACCCTCTGTGCGTCCTCCTGTAGGGCCGCGGCCTCCACAGACCTTTAATTCACATGCGGGTGGGAGGGAGGGAAGCGGGAGGGGGAGCTGGGAGGTCCGGGGGGAGCCTGGGTGACGGAGGCCCTGGAGTGGCAGGATCACGGGGGGAGGCTTGCACGGAGCTTGCAGGCTGTGGCAGGGCGTGTGCCTCCACAGCCCCTCCGCCATGAGGATGGTCTGCAGGAGAACGGGCCTGGCTTAGAACCCAGGGGCCTGGGTTCCGTCCTGTGCTCCCGTGTCCCAGCTATGGATTCGAGAGGTCACGCTGCCTCTACCCTCAGCTTCCTCGGAATGCCGACCTCCCGCAGCGAGGGCAGGAGAAGTCAGCTCCTTTATCCCCAATGCAGATGCAGGTAAACTGAGGCCAAGGGGGAGCAGGGGGGCTGGGACACTTCCCTGCTCTGTCCCGGCTGCAGGGCCTGGCCACCCACGCCCCTCCTGCCCCTTGGGCCCCAGGCCACCGTGTCTGAGGTGCTCCCACTTGGCCGAGGAGGGCGAGGGAGGGTGGGAATAATGCTGTTTCTCTCACTGAGGAGCCCTGCCGAGCCCAGGGGTGGGTGGGCTGTGGAGAAGGAGGGGGTGGGCTCCAGGCCTCACACAGAATCACCTGAGCAGCCCCACGTCGGGCGGGGCGGCCCCCACCAGGGTTCAGGGTGACCCCTGGGTCTGATGGAGGCTCAGAGGCTGGAAAGTCTGAAATTGACTTGTGCAGCCCAGCCCAGCCTCCCTGGGTGGCTCGCTCCCATCTGGGGCTCAGCTATTTCATTTCAGTCTTTGGACAGGAAATTGGGGAAAAATTGTTATATTTCTTGGGTCCCAGGGAAGGAATTCAGGGCCGAGCCAGGAGTAATTTGAACTGGCATTTTCCCCGAGAACGGGAGGACTATCCTATGAATTGTGAGGAGAAGATGGCTTCTCTTCCATTGGCTTAAGGCAGTGGTTGGCAAACTGCGGCTCAGCAAACCACGGCTCGCGAGCCACATGCGGCTCTTTGGCCCCTTCAGTGTAGCTCTTCCACAAAATACCGATTTCTGCACATGGGCCACGAAGTTTCAATCACACTGTACGTGCGCGCCCGCACGTGGTATTTTGTGGAAGAGCCACACTCAAGGGGCCAAAGAGCCACATGTGGCTCACGAGCTACGGTTTGCCGACCACGGGCTTAAGGGAAGGCTCTTTGTTCTTCATATCAGTTTAAAGTCTCAGAATTCTCTGGATGGAAAAAAAATGCCCCTTTTTCTATTCACGGGGAGAAAAACACGAAGATCCTCCGTAGAAAAAAGGGCAAAGAATATCCTCAAATGACACACAGGAGTCAGCATTCTTGAAAAGTCTAGGAAGAACATCCAAGCTTAATAATCACCAAATAACTCAACTTTCTACAGCGGGTGTCTGTTTGCACCGATTAAATGGAAAGTGTTGAAGCGACAGCACTGGGTGCTGGCGAGGCTGCAGGGACAGCAGCTGCTCAGCTCGCTCTGGACCTGGCCGCCCTGGGTCCACAGCTCCCCACAGGGACCGCGTCAGACCAGAGCCCGTTAGCAACGCCTTAGGCCAGCGGTTCTCAACCTGTGGGTCGCGACCCCTTTGGCGGTCCAACGACCCTTTCACAGGGGTCGCCTAAGACCATCCTGCATATCAGATATTTACATTACGATTCATAACAGTAGCAACATTACAGTTATGAAGTAGCAACGAAAATAATTTTATGGTTGGGTCACAACATGAGGAACTGTATTTAAAGGGCCAGAAGGTTGAGAACCACTACTCTAAAACAAAAAACTACTTTCAAAGGGGCAGATAATAGTTCTGGAAAAAATACATTTAAATACCATCCTGCACATCAGATATTTACATTACGATTCATAACAGTAGCAACATAACAGTTATGAAGTAGCAACGAAAATAATTTTATGGTTGGGTCACAACATGAGGAACTGTATTTAAAGGGCCAGAAGGTTGAGAACCACTGGCTTAGGCTTTTAGAGTCCCTGGGGACATGGTCCCGGGGTGTGAGGGCCCCGGAAATAGGCTGCATGCAGTGACATGGTGGCACGGAAGGGGAGTGCCAACCTTCAGGCCGGGAAGTGGAAGCGACACTGGCCGCAAACGAGTGGGGCAGCCTGGCGGACCCCAAACCAGGAACAGGAAAAGAGGCCAAAGAAAGGAAATGACGCTCTGCGCAGCCCCGAAGGCCTCAAAAGCACAGTCAGAAGGAGCTTGGAGGGAACAGGGAGACGATCTTAGTTTGTTTTAAATCTGAGATTTTTCCATTCAGACACCTGGGTCCAAAAGAGCCCTTGGCTACCTAACTCCACCAGCAGAGCCGTCCTCAGAAGGGGGCTCCCTTGCTGTCATCCCTTCTGCCCACATCTTACGAGTCACTTACCCCAATGAATAATTAACGCACTGACCAATCATTCTTGTTTTGCTGGCATTAATTCGCTCAGCCATATATTCTTCCAATCACATACCCATTTACTTGTACCCTCATTCATTCATGCGTGGATCCACCCACCCGATCACTCATTTCCACCCCATCTATCCATTCGACCACTTGGCCATTCTGCCCTCCAGTCTCATTCTGCCCGGCCTCGTGGCCTCGTTCACTTGGCGCCTCCAGGGCAGGTGCCTGCTGTGTGTGCGGCACCCCTGAGCCTGCCCGTGGGCACAGCCTCACCTTGTTGTCGTCTCGCACTGGAAAGCATGGCTTTTGTTCTGCCCAGTTCCTGTGTAGAGGTGTATGTGTCTGCAGCCCACCGGAGGTCCAGGAAAGCTTGGCACACAGGAGGGCCTTGGAAAAATCTGACTGAAGGGATGAGTTGAGCATGAAGCACTGTGAGGAAGGTGCCATATTGCCCCCATTTCAGAGATGAGGAAACTGAGGCTCAGAAAGGTGGAACTGACCTGCTCCAGGTCCCACAGCCGGTAAGCAATAGCGCCCAGTTCACAGCCCAGGTCTGTCTGACTCCAGACGTGCATGGAGTCGGGAGCAGTCAGCGGTGCCCACTCAGGACCCTCCTCCAGGACCTCTGCTCCACCGGCCACTGCAGGAGTCGGACTGGCCTCCAATAAAGCAGGCCGCAGAGCCAGGGAGCCGCTGGCCTGCTGCTCACATCTCACAGGCACTCCCAGCGTGGCCCGCCTAACAGGCCAAGGCACCCAGGCCATGGGGCTCAGGGGCTCAGGATGGACACATAAGTAGATTCGCTTCAAGTGGGTGTCGCTCTCATTCCTGATGGGGAGTCAGGCCTGACCAGACAGGCCCCCAGGGCCGGGCCAGCAGCTGGAGGAGGGTCTCTTTCTTCACAATGACTGTCGGGGGGATATGGAGGCGGCAACACAAACAGCAGCTGAGGCCGGAAAGCGCGTGCGGGACCGCCCTGGACATCTTATCCTGGTGGGATCATCAGTCCAGGGGCCCGAGGGGAGGCCTGCCGCCACCTGGCAGGGCCAATGCAGATCAGCGTTCAGGGTCGGCAACCGAGTGGCAGATCCCAGGGAGCCCGTGGGAGGCGTCTGGGCTGACTCGGCGATGGGGTCCTGGTCCCCGGCCGGTGTTGGTCCCCTTACAACAGCAGGGTCCACATAGTCATCCATTCATTTCTTTGGTTGTGTGCACTCCTCTTTAGTTAGTTTTTGGGACTATAAAAGGAGAGAGCAGAAGGAGACAACAAGAAAAAGGAAGGCCACCCACAACCCCCTTCCGGAGGTGACCTCTGTGCCTGCTCTGGCGGACTCCACCCGGATGACTGTCTACATCAGCAGTTCCCAACCTGTGGGTCGCGACCCCTTTGGGGGTCCAACAACCCTTTCACAGGGGTCGCCTAAGACCATCGGAAAACACATATATAATTACATTTTTTTTCGATTAGTCACTATGCTTTAATTATGTTCAATTTGTGACAATGAAATTGGGGGTCACCACAACATGAGGAACTGTATTAAAGGGTCGGCATTAGGAAGGTTGAGAACCGCTGCTCTAGAGGCTGTGGTTCTAAGCCTTCATCCTGGTCGGTGCCCGGACACCCCCGCTTCTGTCTGCGCCTGAGAAGTGCGGCCGGGGAGGGAGGAGGGGGCGCAGGGCCGCTGGACAGAGGCAGCGAGGGCGGGGCCCGCGGTCGTGGGGAAATGGGAGCCTTGAAGGGGAGTGCCAACCTTCAGGCCGGGAAGTGGAAGCGACACTGGCCGCAAACGAGTGGGGCAGCCTGGCGGACCCCAAACCAGGAACAGGAAAAGAGGCCAAAGAAAGGAAATGACGCTCTGCGCAGCCCCGAAGGCCTCAAAAGCACAGTCAGAAGGAGCTTGGAGGGAACAGGGAGACGATCTTAGTTTGTTTTAAATCTGAGATTTTTCCATTCAGACACCTGGGTCCAAAAGAGCCCTTGGCTACCTAACTCCACCAGCAGAGCCGTCCTCAGTAGGGGGCTCCCTTGCTGTCATCCCTTCTGCCCACATCTTACGAGTCACTTACCCCAATGAATGAGTAATTAACGCACTGACCAATCATTCTTGTTTTGCTGGCATTAATTCGCTCAGCCATATATTCTTCCAATCACATACCCATTTACTTGTACCCTCATTCATTCATGCGTGGATCCACCCACCCGATCACTCATTTCCACCCCATCTATCCATTCGACCACTTGGCCATTCTGCCCTCCAGTCTCATTCTGCCCGGCCTCGTGGCCTTGTGCTTGACCACTTGGCGCCTCCTGAGCAGGTGCCTGCTGTGTGTGCGGCACACCTGAGCCTGCCCGTGGGCACAGCCTCACCTTGTTGTCGGTACTGATGAGGAGGGGCTGGACTTTGATGCTGTCGCTGACCACGGACACGGCGGCGCTGGGGGCGATGGCGGCGGCATTGCTGGGGGCCGTGGAGATGATGGCGTAGGCCACCCCGGCACTGCTCAGAGAAGACGTGATGGCGGCCG